TTTGAGGTCTCATTAATTGGCCTTTTTATTATAATACATGTCAGTATTGATCATTTTTGTAGGGTATACAGCATGAATCGGACATGGCGCGGCGTAATGCCGTTCGTCGAAAAACTGCAAAATATCTCGTGGCTGCCGAGCGCCTCTATCGGACATATCTGGCTTATGATGGTGCTGCCCCCATAGTGAATTTGGAGTCTCTTGTTGAGTCGACTATGGCTGTGAGTTCTACACTATAGGTTTTTTTTTTCATGTGCTATGCTCTCTGTAAGCACAAAGTGGTTGAAAAAGCCCTCTTTACTTTTTTGCCCGCGGTCTAGCGCTGCAATTTTTGACAAAGGCAGCACCCATAGCAAGTTTCTCAGTTCGACGAAATATCTCGCTGTTCTTCTGCTCCGCATAAGACACTAGCCCATCTCCTTATAGACTTAATCAACATTTTGGAGCAAAGATCATGTCAAGAAGTTGACATGACTCACCTGTTGAAACTTGACCATGAAACACCTCGAAATATTCGCTTTATTTCTGAACTTTTATAGTCGACTATTTTTATTCACATCTAGGACCCGGATGTGTTGGCGTTCCAATGTGCTAATGCGTGCCTCAAGAATTATCGCGTGGTTGGTGTGTTGCCGAGCATAAACGCTATTAAATGGGTACTAAAAGTCGAAGAAAAGTCTACAGGTTTGTTTGATTTTGTGATCTACGCAGTTTACTGCTATTATTACCACATCACATCATTTAGGAAGGTTCTTTGTCATGAAACTCCTCGAGAAAGGTGCTCGAACAGCAAAGAGCCGAGTGCTTCTACCCACAAATGTACCCCATATGGTTCAGTTACATCAGTTTTTCGAAACTGAGACATACATCATTCTGGTTCTGGACTACATAGAAAGTGGCACCTTGTGGAACTTTTTGGTGAGGCTTCTTCTATTTCAATTCGTATAAGCTTGATCTGCTTTTTCTAGGCGAATTACTTTGCCGAAGCGGAAAAAAGATTCTTGCTATCACTAGCAACCGGAGAAGACGAAGGATTCGGGGATGTTCCTCAGTGTTCGACTGCGGGAATGCAGGCAGCTGCAGCCGAATTGGATTGTTACAGAGGTCAGCACAATAAGATAGCTTGTGAAATTTTCGAAGTAATGCTGGGTTGAAGGGGACTGTGAAAATTTATTTTTACACCGGAAGCGATTCTAAGGCTTGCAGCGAGTTCGCTGTAGAAGTAGAGAGACTTTACCGATTTGCTGCTTTTTTTT